ACCATTTTTGGTCAGTTTGTAGGCTGAAACCTCTGGACCCACACAATGTCTTCAGAATTACGGTAGGATTAATACTTTTCCTTAAAAACGCTCCAGACCGACCTAAAGTCGATGAGAATCAGAGCATTTCTCCATTGGTTTTGGAGCAGCAGTGGGGAGAAAAACGAATGACATTATGTGTTTTAAACTCGTCATAAATATTTTTCTGAATGACACACATACACCAAAGTTGGCATAGTTGGAGTCGAAGGATCGCTGACGCTCACGGTGAAGAAATTTTTTGAATAACTCATACGATTTTTGCTAAGCAGTCGTTTGTTCGGAGCTGTTGCTCCCATTCAAAAAAGCCTGAGAGCTAAGGAACGATAGTGCTGCGCTTTTCTCTCTGTCACTGACAGGCTCGTTAAGCGTTGTCAAGGTAACCGTGCTTCAAAGAGATTTTACCTCTGCTGTTTTAAACAGCACATATTAATCTAATGGAGGGTGAAAGCACTGATTTAACATTAGGAAATGGATACTATATGACTGCTGTCCATGACACTTCCCTTGCCACTCAACACTGATAGACTTTCAAAATAAGACTCCAGGGACCCTACAAAATAAAAGCCTCTATATTTTTTACATATATTTATTGCCCTATATGGCTCAACATTATGACCCAAACTCAACCCCATTTTAGAGAATAGACTCTTGGAGACTGTTTAAAACACACCTTAAGGCAAATTTCAAAATAAAAGCCTCCCATTTCATCTTCATCTACTGCCCTAATAACATGGAAAAAAGAGTGATTTAACGATTGGAAAGTCATCAACTATCATTGCTGGGTCTGAACATTTTCTCTAAACACAACTCTGTTGGACTTTCAAAATAAGAATCCAGGGACCCTACAAAATAAAAGCCTCTAGATTATACTAATGCAATAATTGATGCAAATGGCTCGACATTATGACCCAAACTCTTCCAGGTTGTTTTTATTAGACTCTAGTGACCTTTTCAAAACACACCCCAGAGCAAATTTCACAATAAAAGTCTCCCATTTACTCTGTAATACAGCAGCTATTCACCTAATAACATGGAAAACCAGTGATTTAACATTTGGAAATGGATTCTATATCACTGCTGGGCATGACCCATCTTTTGATGCACATCCATGATAGACTTTCAAAATAAGACTACAGGGACTCTACAGAATAAAAGCCTCTTCCTTATACACACTCATACATTCTGGCATATTGCTCATAGCCATTTGTAATTTCATCACTGCAATGGCTCTGAGCATGCGGGCGGAGCCCGCCATTGGTGATTTCATCACTGCAATGGCTCTTAAAAGGCGGGCGAAGCCCGCCATTGGTGATTTTTTTCATCGCTGCAAGGGCTCCTAGCAGGCGGGCGGAGCCCGCCAACTGCGCTTTACCCACTGCGGTTCAATATGGACAAACCATATTACCCTTGTGCATCATACGCTGTGCACGTCTATTTCCCAGATTTCAGCACAAGTGGCACACAGCTCTCTTTGCCCATGACCTAGCCCGTTTTCCTTCCCTCAGCAGCCCTCAAAGGAGTAAGCAGTTGGTCTGGGGAGCCCCGACGTCACTTGCCAGGGCCGTATTGGCCCAGTTACCCAGACCGGCAGTAGGTGGCCCCCCTCAAAATTTCTTTAGAAATTTTCTAGTTCGTTTTGCTCCCCTCTTCTGCTCCAAAACCAATGAAAAACGGCTCTGATTTTGATCGACTTTAGGTCGGTCTGGAGGGTTTTTAAGGAAAAGTATTAATCCTACCGTAATTCCGAAGACATTGTGTGGGTCCAGAGGTTTCAGTCTACAAACTGACCAAAAATGGTGACTCTAGCTATAAAAATGTGGCCGTGAGGGCAAGTTTAAAATGTTTTTGGGTCTTAAAAAAACGGCTGCCTCACACTCTAGCTTTTCAGTTGCTCCACTCTAGAAGGGTGGATTTTGCTAAAACTTTGTGGCGCTTGAGGTCCGATTATACAAAAACCGTAGCAGTTATCAACATGCCGTCTTCAGTTTTAAACAGACGAAGGATTTATCTACAAACTGAGCTTTAAACAGTTTTTCTAGGTGAAGGTATGGCGACACAGTGAACCGCTGTTTTTTATGCTTTTTTTTACCTCTCCCCATTCATTTCCTATGGGATTTTATTTGCGACGTTTTCGCTAATAATTCGCAAACCGTCAGACTAATGAGAAAGTTTTATACAAGCACGCATCGCACCATTGGTCCCGACGCGTGTGCCAACTTTGGGCCCGATCCGCCAAACCGTGCGGGACTAGTTACGTGCCGAAGTTTCGGTGGCGAGGAGAACTATAAGCTATAAAAATAATACGCGGAATAAATATGTGCAATAGTAGTAGGTGGGCAATGCCTTCGGCATGTGGCCCCCCTAATAATACGCGGAATAAATATGTGCAATAGTAATAGGTGGGCCATGCCTTCAGGCATGTGGCCCCCCTAATAATAATACGCGGAATAAATATGTGCAATAGTAGTAGGTGGGCCATGCCTTCGGCATCTGGCCCCCCTAATAATACGCAGAATAAATATGTGAGATAGTAGTAGGTGGGCCATGCCTTCGGCATGTGGCCCCCCTAGTAATTCAATAAGCCTAGTGAACAATTATATTTAGGTTTATAAACAAAAATTTGTAAGTACCAGTATCGGCATTAATGCTTGTGAGGTTATGTTGGACCAAAAAAAATGTCTTTCTCTCATTTTCAGAGTGTTTTTCATGAATTTCTTATAAAAAAAACACTTTTATTTTTATTAATATATGCGTGAAGTTCGCGTTTTTTGTTATTACATTGATTTTTGCCATGAAAATATCCATATTTTTTTAATGTTACAAAGGTAATAAGATCTTGTCCTGGATTTCAATAACACTGTTGGCTTGAACTGTGGGTTTTCAGTGTTTTACTGAGTTCCCTTTAAAGGTTTAAGGATGTAAACCAGTTTAAACTGGTGTAGTTTTAACAGATTTTCTTTTAGAAAGCTCATTTGATCCTTTCTGGCTACCATTGTTCCCAGTATTGTTCAAACTGACAATTGCTGCAAAATAAATTCTTTCATGCTGCAACGAGAAACTGTTCAAAGCTCTGATCTGTTGTGATGAACCATAAATAAAAAGTCCGTAACATCAAGTAAATTTCTGACTTTATTTAAGCTTGTGTAAATTTAAGAAAGGACTACTTCAAACTTGTAAACTCAAATAATTTTTTTTTATGTTGTATCATATCAGCCCGAACGGAAAATGAATATAATAAACAAAGGAAAAACCCCCAAAGTTTTAATGTAATGATGCCTGTGATACACGTATGATTCAGAAACCTACACAGGGTTTATACATGGAGTATTTACACCAGCGGTTCGGCCACCTGATCCTGTTCTTTTTTCTCCAGTTTCACTTTCAGTGCCATCTGTCTTTCCTCCTGGAGTCGCTCTTTAATCCATCTGTTGCCTCCTGAACCATCTCAGGCTTTCACCCCCCACCCCTCCTGCTCCCTTACCAGATTTCACTGCAGTGCTTTGATTTTCTTTTTTTCCAACAGTCACAAGTGAAAACCAAAAGCCCCTCTGCACTGCAAAAACTTTAATTCTCAATAAGTCATTCTTTCTTAAAATAACTTATTTTTTTCTTGAATTGAGGTAAGTGAGACACTTCGCCAATGGAACAAGACAATTTACATTTAAAATAAGAATAAAACAATTGCTTTGTCTTATTTCAAGTGCATATTATACAATTATCTTATTTTAAGAGTAAAAAAAGAGTCAAATTGAGGCTAAATACACTTAATTTCAGAATTTTTTACTTATGTCTAGATCGTTTTTGCAGTGTTGCTGCTGCAATGTAAAAGCGATCTAGAAACAGAGATGGGAAGATACTCAAGTAGTTTTTTCTGATATTTTTACTTTACTTTACTACTTATTTTTATGGCAACTTTTTACTTCTACTCCTTACATTTTTACACAAATATCTGTACTTTCTACTCCTTACATTTAAAAAAAATTGGCTCATAACTTTAGTTTTGAATCATTTCAATGGAGTTACCGTTATTATTTTTCACGTCATCAGTACCAAATTCAATCTAATTGGATGGGAATCTACGTTGCATTTGACGCACCACTACAAGATGAATCGACAGATTCGGCGGTATTCATTCGCGGCAAATTATTGCAGCTTGGTGGCGGTGGCGTTAGCATAGTAGCATGGACGACGAGATGATTGAAAATGAACACAACGGAGATCTAGTCCTATTGGCAGACATCCATTTAAAATGTAGGCAACGGCATGAAAAAAGTGGTTTCTACTTTTACTTTTATACTTTAAGTAAATTTACAAGCCTGTACTTTGTTACTTTTACTTGAGTAAAGAAGTTTAATCAGTACTTCCACTTTTACCAGAGTATTTTTTAACACAAGTATCTGTACTTTTACTCAAGTACGGAAAGTGAGTACTTTTGCCATCTCTGTCTAGAAATAAGTAAAAATGTCCTAAATTAAGTATATTCACTCTTAATTTGAGTAGGTAAATGAGATAGTTTGCCAATGGAATGAGTAATTTTACTCTTAAAATAAGATATATAGATAATATACACTTGAAATAAGATGATGCAATTGTGTTTTCTTATTTTAAGTGTAAATTGTCTTGTTCCATTGGCAGAATGTCTCTTTTACCTCCTCAATTCAAGAACAAATGCACTTATTTTAAGAAAAAAAATGACTTATCTAGATTTAGATTTTTTGCAGTGTAGGCGCTGCTCTTTCTGTCCACATTAAATGTGAACTGGAAAACAATTTCTCTTAACTTCTCTTCACTTAATATCCAACAAATATTTTTTTCTTTTTTAAAAATAATTATATAATACAGACAATTTGAAACGTGGAAAACAGTCTTTCATTGGGAGTTTCTTATTTACATTGACATGAATGATCAGTGTTATAGAAATAACTTCCTGTTTCATCCAAATCCCTTAAAATGTAGACTTCACTTCTGAAATTAGGTTTGCAGCAACGCAAAGCTTTGTTGTTGTTTTTTTTTTTTTCATTATTTCAACATTTATCCATGCACGTCCCATCAAACTGATCCCACAGCAGATAAACTTTAACCCTTTAGTAAACATTTGACATTTTTCCAGATAATCTCAGGGCAGAGAACCGGACTCAGAGTCGAGGTGAAACTTTGGATGAAAGCTTGGCTTCGAAAACAAACGCAAAGAATTAAATCAGATAACAGAAGCTGTTTAGATTGAGCAGCATAAATCTCAACCCTTTGAGTCTCTGATTTCTGCTCCGGCCCGCCTTTTGGCCCCCTTTAACCCAGGATGTCCAAGTAGACGGGGGGATTCTTGACCAGCTCCAGCAGGCGGCTGTGGATGTCCTTGATGACCATCCTCTGCTGGGGCTCCCTCTGCCAGCAGCCCTGCATCAGCAGGTACACCTCCTTGGGGCAGGTCCGTGGCCTCTCCAGCTCCCGCCCCTGCGTGATGCATTCAATGGCCTGTTGGAAAGGAAACACAGTTTGATTGGTTCAAATATAAAAAAATACAGTTTGTCCTTTAATTGAGTAAAATCAGCTAAAAATAAAAAAAAGCATGAAGCCATTAGGATTTTATTTTAAATATCAATAACCTGTTTTTAATGTCTCACATAATTTGTCTTCTTTTAGATAAATCTCATTTAAAATATCTCTGATATACAAACACTGAGATATGAAGCACTTTCTTTATATTACACTGGAAAAACAATCTAGAAATAAGTAAAAGTTTCTTAAATTAAGTGTATTTACCCTTAATTTGATTAGGTATATGAGATAGTTTGCCAATGGAATGGAAATTTCTACTCTTAAAATAAGATAATTAGATAATATGCACTTGAAATAAGACAATGCACTTGTGTTTTCTTATTTTAAGTGTAAATTGTCTCATTCCATTGGCAAGATGTCACCTTTACTTTCTTAATTCAAGAACACTTATTTTAAGAAAAAAACAACTTATCTAGATTTCGATTCTTTCCAGTGTAGCAGCTTCCTTTATTAGAGAACTTTAAAAAGTCAAAAAAACTCATTATTTACATTTTCGGAACCTTTTGTAACACAATTATTTACTCCAACAGCACGTCTCTCCCCCTCTCTCTAACCCCTACTGTCGAAAAAACGAGCCACTACTACCGTAAAAACTTAAAACAAATAAATAAATTTAGCTAAAGTTTAGTGTAAACTATTTTCATAAGGACTTTAAAGAAATAATGGCATCTTTTTTCCTCAACGATTTATAAAAAAAACATGAAATCAGTGCAAGAAAATTAAACTAAAGTCATCATTAAAAATTCTGAGAATTAATTAATTGGTATCATTTGTGATGCTTATTTGTCCTTTTCTGTTCCCTATGTGTGTCTGACTATAAATCAGGTTTTCCTAGAAAAAAGGAAAAAAAACACTGAGGATGTGGAATTATCAACATCTCACGCATGTAAAATGATTTACTTGGTATTAAACGGTTAAAAGCTTAAAGTAAATTTAGATTTAAGGAAAATTGATGCACTAAGAAGGAAAATGGTCGTAAAGAAAGAGCTGGAGTAACATTTTTTATTTTTTTTATAATTTTTTATATATTTTTTATTATTTATTTATTTATTTTTTTTCTCTCGTGTGGGTGTCCTTTTTCTTATGACTTTTTCTTATTGCCTTGGAGGGATTTGAGGTCGTTTTGTTGTGTTTTTTCGTTTTTTTTTTTTTTTTATGACTCCAGGGAATTGTATGGTTTGTTTTATATGTATCACATTGTCAATGTATGGTTATGCAATTCTAGCCTCGTGAGACCATCCTGATCTCGCAAGCTTTCAAGGTTTCACTCGCAGATCAGTCTGGAGACTCTCCGTTGAAGAAAATTTGGAGCCGTTCACCAAACGAACGTCCAATCAGCGTTGGCTTTGAGGCGGGTTGAGGTGTGACGCAACGAGAAGCGCGACAGTTCAGTCTAAAGAACATGGTGTCTTCAGCCGATGAAACTAGCGTTAGCGTGGCTGTCGAGCAGGTTTTATCAGAATTACAGAGTATTTCTTCACTGAAAGAAGAGCAAAACACTGCTCTGGAGGCTTTTCTCAGAGGAAAAGATGTTTTTGCTCTTCTCCCGACTGGTTTCGGCAAGAGTTTGATCTATCGATTGGCTCCTCTTCGTCGTCGCTCTGTTAGTACGTCATATGCTTCGTTGATCTGATTGGTTTATTTGGCCCGTCTATCACCAACATAGGCCAATCAGCTAACCAGTATTTTCGCCCCTTCCCAAAATGACTTCAACGGAAGGTTTCCAGATGGATATGCGGAGCAAATCCATTTGGCGGAGTCAGGTTAATGCAATTCCTGTTAAAAACCAAATAAACAAAGTTTGTATAAAAAAAAAAAAAAAAAAAAGAAAGAGCTGGAATTCATAGATCTGAGTCTGGTCAAACATTCCTGTCAGTTTGGGTAAAAGTTTTATAAAATCACATCCAAAATAATCTATCACGAATCTTCTTCAAACCTTTCTGATATTTTAAAGAGCCCATGATGCAATTAGCTTGTAGAATTTCCAAAGTGAGGCTGACACTTTGCTGAAGTCATCCAGGTCATATTGCAAAATCAATGCTCTGATCTTTATATTGGAGAAATCAAACAACCCCTCCACAGACACATGGCCCAGCACAGGTACATCTGCACCTTATGGATAAAGGACATTCTTTAAAGGACCAGAATGTTCACATTTTGGTCAAAGAACATCAGTGTTTTGAAAGGGGCGTGAAGGAAGCCATTTATGTTAAGAGAGAAAAACCAACCTTAAACAGAGGGGGTGGACTCAGAGTTCTGCTTTCAAAAACCTACAATGCAGTAATTGAGTTGATTCCTTCCTGCTATCATCGCAACCCCAACCCCTTTACAGGAGAACAGAAGACCTCGCCTGTTCAGCCAGGCTAACAATTCCCTTTAACGACCTCTCTTTCAGGAACAATGCCAGTATCGGGCATTACAGGCTAACAAAGAACCCAAACGACCCCCATTCCTAAGGGGTGGATCTGATCGTCCGTTTCAATTTGCATGTTTTTTCTAAGCCAAAACAAGGCTTTGTTTTTGCTCCACTCTACAAAGCCTCAAACTCAAACCTATTTCTGACATTTTGAACTGAAAAAGCTTCCTGGATGGGAAGAGAAACGTCTTCAGAGGAAAAAAATCAAAATCTAGATAAGTCATTTTTTCTTAAAATAAGTGCATTTGTTCTTGTATCAATGTAATTGTAATACACAGTGTGCCAATGGAATGAGACAATTTACATTTAAAATAAGAAAACACAATTGCTTTGTCCCATTTTAAGTGTATATTACCTAATTATATTATTTTAAGAGTAAAAATACTCATTCCATTGGCAAACTATCTCATTTACCCACTCAAATTATTAAAGACACTTTTACTTTTCAAGTGTTCAAACTTGGAAACAAAGTCCAGTGGATTGTTTTTTTGTTTTTTACTTTTTTGGAATGAGCAGAAATTGCAGGAATAAATTAATTAATTGTAGATATTTTAACAGAGCTTCTCCTGGGGTGCAAATACAGGCGAAAACTGGCATTAAATCCTCAGAAAATGAGGATTTAATGCCAGTTTTATTTCTGTACTTTATCTTAACCAGGCGGGCTGATCGCTCATGTTTCCTCTTAGGCTCAGCAGGAATAAATGAACATATTGATCAACTCGCCTCCATGAAGAGAGACTGAGCACAAATCTCAGTGTCAACAATGTGTCTGAATAAATCCGCTCTGTTTTTAGGGTCTGAGCCTGCAGAAGGCTGCATATCCAGGTCAGCATCTTAGCTTAGGTGGTAAAAGCAGCATAAGGCTTTAAGTTGAACTGTAAAGTGCCTTGAGATGACATGTGTTGTGAATTTGGCGCTATATAAATAAACTGAATTGAAACTGAATTGAATTAAGTCAAGCGGACAGTTTCAAATTTTAAAGAAAAACCCAAACAGTGGATCATCTTCCATAAAGCTAATCTTCCTGTTTCAAACTCATTCTGCTGGCAGCAGATGATCACATTAAATTAGATCTTTCCAATCGGAAGAACAAGAGTCAAGAAAACACCCACCGTTTATATTGTTTATATATATATATATTATATATATATATATATATACATGCAGCAGATGGCCACTCACACTGAGCCTGGTTCTGCTGTTAAAAGGGAGTTTTTCCTCTCCACTGTCGCTACAAGCATGTTTAGTGTGAGAGATTACCTTAGAGTCAATGAGTCGATGAAATCAACTGGTTTTCCTTAGACAGTAAACTTTGAATCAATCAGACTGGATGATCAGGTAAACTGTAAATTGCCTTGAGATGACATGATGTGAATTGGCGCTATAGAAATAAACTGAATTGAATTTGAAACAAATCATGACATCATTCACTGGAAAAGAAAATGCGGAAAACCGGCCCTAAGTGGTTACAGGTCCTCTACCGCGGCCATGTTCAGGACCGCCTGTTTGTGTTGCGTTGAAGTGAAGAGAATCTGATCCATAAAACGCAATTTGAAAATAATGCAAATTCATAAGACGTGATCAGAAAAAGAGAAATTTCAGAAAATATAATTTAAAAATAGACTATGAAGAAAAAAATCTAAGAAAGCAGCAAAAAAAACAAAAAAAACAATGGGTGATCGGGTGAACTGGAAAGTGCCTTGAGATGACGTGTGTTGTGCATTGGCGCTACAGAAATAAACTGAATTGAATTGAATCCCTCTATGTTTTTTTCTAACAAAAGGGAAAACCATGAGTCTATGGACAGGTTTATTATTCTAAACATAAATAAGACATTTTCTTAACAGATCTTATAATGATCTTATATTATTTAAAAAAAAAAGCAGGATCACTGTACAGAGGAAAGCAGGATCACTGTATACAGATCTGAGTCCATTAGCTGCCACCTTTGGGACAATAGAGAGCAGCCAAAATATGAACAACCAGCCAGTAATGGCTGCAGAGGCTGACGCAGTTCGCAGCCTCGCTTCGCTCAGTGAATAAATCCCTGTCGAGGATCAGAGCGAGGATCTCCATCAGGCTCTTTTTACGGCTGTTAACCTTTGCCTGATTAAGTGAATAGAAGACGCCTGTCAACAGAGCCACTTCACACCAATATGAACCATCAGAGCCGAGACTCCTAACGACCCACTAAAACGCCTGCTGCCGCCACGCCGCTACTTTGGGCTGATTTATCTCTGCAGCGCAGTATTTAGGCAACATGATAATTTCACCTGTCCCTCACCGAGCGAGACAGATTAGGATAACGAGGTTACACTTTATTGGCATAAGGCAGAAATGAAGCCAATGAGATTAGGATCGAGTGCAGAGGAAAAGTGATCCACCCTCCCCTGGAAAGGAGAGAGGCTCCCGGCCTGTAATAGCACCGCTGCGGTCACAGTGGAGACCCACTTCTTGGTGCTTAAGCTAAGAAGGCCAGACCGGACTGCCCTTAATTACTATGAATATATCGACTGGTTCAAGAGTGCAGAACCTGGAAGACTACATGGTCTGAAAGTTAAAATGGGTGAAACAATTCAGACTCAAGTGTCTGCACTTCTTTATGACTTAAAAGATGTTCTAAGGGAGGATAATTAACCAATTTAAATAAAAAGATCATCAAAGTTTTTAATCACAGGGCTGAGAGTTTATCATCTTCAGAAGAAATACCACAGATCTACGGTGTGGCTGTATTAACACAACAATTGAAAATAAAATTCCACAGGTCATTGACCTTGACCAAGGCACCTTACATTAGAACTGCTGTCAGTCCCTGGACTGCCCCTACATTGGGCGTTTCTCAATTCACGAGGACGCGAGTACGTACTCGCGTTCTCGTCAAGTCCGTTCTTGGCGAGAACACAGGAAGATTGGACTTGACGAGAACGCGAGTACGCAAGCACGTGTATTGGAACAGAAGCGTACTCGTGACGTCATCACAGGCAACGTTGTTTAGCATTTCTTTAACAGTCAAAACTATTTATTCCCTACACAAAACATTTTGAAAACAATATTTTTAATTTCTAAAGCTTAAAAAACATTAAAAAAAATTACCGAACCGCAAAAAACCGCCATCACAACGAGCGGTAGTTCACACATAACTAGACCGAGAGAAGTGCACTACAGACGGGGTAACATTAGCCCTGGCTGCAGTTACCCTCGGAGGTCTGCTGGTCACTCTGGTCCGCTCAACGTCAGACTTTTTTTTTTTATTTCGCACTAACTCTGTAAACAGGCCACACAGGGAGGCTTAAATGTATAATGTTATCGCCTCAAACGATTTCAAAACGTACTTTTGAAGAAAACCAGCAGCAGAAAAGGGAATGTTTAACTTAACACTGTGAGCGCTGTCTCGAATCAAGCTGCGGCCGCGGTGCATTCTGGGGAAGCGGTCAGTCTGAAGAACGCACAAGTCTGCTCTGATGCATGCTCGATAAAGAGGGCAGGGCGAGAACATCATCCGGGGATTTGATGCGTTCTCGATCTGGTGTTCTCGAGAATTGGAACGGTACTCGGGCTGAGGCTGATGACGTGTCACGAGGCCACGAGCACACCAGAACGCTCAGGAACGCATTTTGAGAAACGCCCATTGTTAGGGACAAATTCAGGACCAGCGTTGGGCACGTTACTTTGAAAAAGTGATAAGTTATAGTTACTAGTTACTTCTCCCAAAAAGTAACTGAGTTGCTAACGGAGTTACTCCACAATAAAAGTAACTAGTTACTACTAAAAGTAACTATTGCGTTACTTTTGCGTTTCTCGCCCCCGTAACCCCCACCTTCTCGCCGTGTGTTTCCAAAGCCAGCTGAATAGAGCGGACGACAAAGACAAGAACCTGCAGAGAGTTTAGCTTTTATTGCAACTCAACGTAAATGACATCAGGGGGGAACGCCATGTGAAGTTTTTTAACAGGGCATTCAGATCTGGTGAGTATATGAAATTAATAACTGGGGATGTCTAATTCTGAAATCCTGTGTGTTTGGGTTGTTATAGATACTGCAACATCTATCTATCCATCTATCTATCTAGATCTATACTCTGTGTGTGAAATAAAATATGGATGTCCATCCCTGCCACAAAGGCCATCAAATAATGTTTAAAATAAAAAAATACAGTAGGTTGAAATCCATCCATCCATCCATCCATCCATCCATCCATCCATCCATCCATCCATCCATCCATCCATCCATCCATCCATCCATCCATCCATCCATCCATACTGTGAGGGATTGCATTCAAGTCAAAGAGTCAATGCTATCAACTGGTTTTCCTTTGATAGAAAACTTTGAATCAATCTGACTTGATGATCTGGTTGAACTGTAAAGTGCCTTGAAATGACGTGTTGTGAATTTGGCGCTATTGAAATAAACTGAACTGAATTGAATTACTGGGTCAATTACCAACCTCCTTGGGCTTGCTGGTGTGCAATATAATAGAATGAAGTAGAATCAAATAAAATAGAAATACCCTCTACTGTCCTACAACAGGGAAATTCAGTCGTGTCAAGCCTGCAGGTAAACACAAGACTAACAAATATGAAAAAAAATCTAGAATCTCGGTATTGTTGCATATGAGACCCTCCAAAGTAATAGCCTCGTGAGACAATCCTGATCTCGCGAGCTTTCAAGGTTTCACTCGCAAATCAGTCTGGAGACTCTCCGCTAAAGAAAATTTGGAGCCGTTCACCAAACGAACGTCCAATCAGTGTTGGCTTTGAGGCGGGTTGAGGTGTGACGCAACGAGAAGCGCGACAGTTCAGTCTAAAGAACATGGCGGCTTCAGCCGATGAAACTAGCGTTAGCGTGGCTATCGAGCAAGTTTTATCGGAATCACAGAGTATTTCTTCACTGAAAGAAGAGCAAAACACTGCTCTGGAGGCTTTTCTCAGAGGAAAAGATGTTTTTGCTCTTCTCCCGACTCGGCAAGAGTAGCCTGGCTTGTGGTTGTGTTTTCGTCGTCGCTCTGTTAGTACGTCATATGCTTCGTTGATCTGATTGGTTTATTTGGCCCGTCTATCACCAACATAGGCCAATCAGCTAACCAGTATTTTCGCCCCTTCCCAAAATTACTTCAACGGAAGGTTTCCAGATGGATATGTGGAGCAAATCCATCTGGCGGAGTCAGGTTACCAAAGTAATGCCGTCCGTAACTTAGCAACCATGTTTGTGTGTTTGAGGGGTAGATAAGTGTGAAAGGGACTTCAGATTTACCTTTAACGGATTCATGCATATAATTCAGTGTCTTCCAAAAAAATTAAAAGCAATTGAAGTAAAAATAATATCCAAGATGATCATTGTGACCTTTAAGGTTTCAGCAGCACTTATTAGTCAATAAATAGAAAAGACAATTTTTCAGGACAGTAACTCATTACTTAAAACTTACTACTTAATATCAAACCATGTTGTTTTTCTTTCTACTTAAATTTAACTAAAGTTATGATAAGGATAACTGAAAAAATAAGATATATTACACTGGAACTGTGAACTGTCAGTTTACCTCACTGTTGGAAAGCTGATACCACGGTTGTTTGCCGTAGGTAAAGATTTCCCATAGAACAACCCCGAAGCTCCAGATGTCGCTTTCTGTTGTGAACTTCCTGTACATGATGCTCTCTGGGGGCATCCAGCGGATCGGCAGCATCGTGCGTCCGCCGACCTGAGGATGAGAATCCAGGACAGGGTTGAAGGTATTATTAAAGGGATACACATAAAAATCCTGTCAAATTTTGAAAATTATTGGAAGCTGGACTTCCAGACACTCACCCGGTAGTAATCTGTGCTGTAGATGTCTCGAGACATTCCAAAGTCTCCGATCTTCACCACCAGACCCTCTCCCACCAGACAGTTGCGAGTGGCCAGGTCACGATGGACGAAGTGCAGCGAGGCCAGGTAGACCATGCCAGAAGCGATCTGGGCGGCGATGTGCAGCATCTGGGGTAGAGTCAGCTGCCCCATCGGGGGCATCTTGGACTCTTCCAGCATTCGAGCATCAGGTCCGTGAGCTCTGTGGAAGAAACAGATTTTTACAACTATGAAGGAGAAATTAAACCTTAGAACAAGCAGGGACGCAGCTAAAAGGGGGGCCTGAGGTGACCATGGCCACCATACCCAGTAGCGGCTCCCTGTAGCTCAGAGAATAGACTCTATAATCCTTCTCTTAGTCTACACTGCAAAAACGATCTAGAAATAAATAAAAATTTCTTAAATTAAGTGTATTCACCCTTAATTTGAGTCATTGTATTCTCATTATCAGTTAGTACGAAATCGTACGAAAAGTTATGCTCAGTAATTTGGTAAGTTTTTGACGTTTTTTTCGTCGCATTTCGTTGTATTTTTAACGTCTTGCCTTGAGACAAGATATCCTTGTGCATGCGCATCTTATGCACCATAAATAACATAGAATTTAACATATAATTAACCCTAACCCTAAGATACAAAACAGCAAGCAACCTAGTTAGAGACCTGAAGAAGTAATTATTGCACTGTTGTTCCCAGTTTTACGTCCGTCCACGGATCTGCTTTTTTCGTCTGTCTGGCTGCGCACTGATCTGTATTTTCGAGGAAAAATGTCAAAAACGTACGAAATACTGTGCATAACTTTTCGTACAATTTCATACGAACTGATAATGAGAATATGTTGTTTGAGTAGGTAAATGAGATAGTTTGCCAATTGAATGAGTAATTTTACTCTTAAAATAAGATAATTAAATAATATGCACTTGAAATAAAACAATGCAATTGTGTTTTCTTATTTTAAGTGTAAATTGTCTTGTTCCATTGGCAAAATGTCTCTTTTAACTCCTCAATTCAAAAACAAATGCACTTATTTTAAGAAAAAATGACTTATCTAGATTTAGATTTTTTGCAGTGTATAAATCACTGATTAGATCAGCACCTCGGTCCATAACAGATCTGTTGTCAGGGGATCAACCTCCCAGACCAGATCAGGTCTTCTAGTTCCAGCCTACTCTGTCCACCCAGAACTAGAACCAAACATGTAGAAGCACCATTTAGTTCCTCTGCTTCACTGATCTGGAACAAACTCCCAGAAGACTGGAAAAGAGCTGAAAGCCTGAGTTCTTTGAAAACAAAGTTAAAAACCTGTTTGTTTAGAGCTGCCTTTGACTGTTGTTGTCCAACTGTTTTATTTGCTACCTGCTTTTATCTTAACTTGCTTTTATTCTGCTTTTACTTTCCCCTTATTTGACTGTTTATCCATGTAAAGCACTGTGAATTGTCGCTGTACTGAATTAGTGCTATATAAATGAACTTGCCTTGCAGCCACCCGTACCAGGTAACCTGACTCCGCCAGACGGATTTGCTCCGCATATCCATCTGGAAACCTTCCGTTGAAGTCATTTTGGGAAGGGGCGAAAATACTGGTTAGCTGATTGGCCTGTGTTGGTGATAGACGGACCAAATAAACCAATCAGATCAACGAAGCATATGACGTACTAACAGAGCGACGACGAAAACACAACCACAAGCCAGGCTACTCTTGCCGAAACCAGTCGGGAGAAGAGCAAAAACATCTTTTCCTCTGAGAAAAGCCTCCAGAGCAGTGTTTTGCTCTTCTTTCAGTGAAGAAATACTCTGTAATTCCGATAAAACTTGCTCGATAGCCACGCTAACGCTAGTTTCATCGGCTGAAGCCGCCATGTTCTTTAGACTGAACTGTTGCGCTTCTCGTTGCGTCACACCTCAACCCGCCTCAAAGCCAACGCTGATTGGACGTTCGTTTGGTGAACGGCTCCAAATTTTCATTAACGGAGAGTCTCCAGACTGATCTGCGAGTGAAACCTTGAAAGCTCGCGAGATCAGGATGGTCTTACGAGGCTACGTACCAGGTGACTTTTTCCAATGCCAATGTCATTCACCAACTTCAGAACAAGCTTTTCACCTCTAAACCAGAGGGTGGCAGCAGTGGTACTCTCAAGTGGCATGTCCGATCAAATGTAACATTCTAAGTGTGAGTATATTAACAATAAACTGAAAACAGAAACGATTGTTTTACACTTATATACCAACATTAGTCATTAAAGATGACACACGTTGAATTTATATTCTTATTAGAGCTAGAACCGCCACTGGAAGCAGTGGCGGTTCTGGACCAAATGGACCAGGGGGACCAGTAGGGGGCCAGCGTGTTTTCATGGGGGCACAGAAAAGCATAAAATAAAAAAACAGGGATTCAAATAAATTAAGATAGCTGCATGAAGTGAAATTTCTATTCAATTAGGTTTCATTAAAATTCTAAATGTCTTAATAGGTCAATTATACATTCAGAATTTAGGAATTTTACTTTTTTTTTTAACTTAATTTAAGTTGCAATTACAGTTTTCTATAAAATCTGAATTAGAATTTAAGAAAAACTGTTAAAATTAGCTGTAAAAAGTAGACTATTTTTTTTTACATTTGTTTTGGAAAAAAACATTTAGCAGATGAAAACTGGGACCCTATCTCAATACCACTTATGCTATGTTTTTAAACAGTTAATAAAACAGAATTTGTAAAGAAAAAAATAAAATAGATCCAAAGGATCTATCAGTAACCATGTCTGTTTCAGCGCATATCATCGTTAGAATTTCTTTGAGTATTATGTCGTCAGTACAGGGGCCATAACAGAACCGCCCGTGACTGGAAGACAGCAATGGTGTGTTCTAGGTAATTAGAGATGAATAATAACCAAACCCATTTCATGTATGTATTAATGCATGTTTATGTTAATATTATGCAGAACCAAATTTGATTAAGTCTGTGATGGACATGGTTTTTCCAGAAATTTAGGCAAGGAACACCTAAGTCGCTTTTTAAATAGCTGCCCATGTGCAACGCCGGCATGAGCAAAAATCTCCCAAATACTCTCCTGCTTTATTTCTTTATTTAGAGGCCTTTCCCTTCTTCTAGTCAACTTATTTGCTTCTTTTGACTCTCATTCATTTAAGTAGCACAAGTATATGTTCAGAGAAACGTACAATCAGCGTTGGCTTTGAGGCGGGTTGAGGTGTGACGCAACGAGAAGCGTGACAGTTCAGTCTAAAGAACATGGCGGCCTCAGCCGATGAAACTAGCGTTAGCGTGGCTATCGAGCAAGTTTTATCGGAATTACAGAGTATTTCTTCACTGAAAGAAGAGCAAAACACTGCTCTGGAGGCTTTTCTCAGAGGAAAAATTTTTTTTGCTCTTCTCCCGACTGGTTTCGGCAAGAGTAGCCTGGCTTGTGGTTGTGTTTTCGTCGTCGCTCTGTTAGTACGTCATATGCTTCGTTGATCTGATTGGTTTATTTGGCCCGTCTATCACCAACATAGGCCAATCAGCTAACCAGTATTTTCGCCCCTTCCCAAAATTATTTCAACGGAAGGTTTCCAGATGGATATGTGGAGCAAAACCATCTGGCGGAGTCAGGTTAAAGACAGGCATGGGGCACCTATAAATGGGAAGTCAACACATAAAGCAGACACATTATAGAGATACAAAATGTTTTATAGAATAGACATACATTATTTGTTTTAAGTTTTATCCCTCTCTTCTTGTCCCTTTCCTTGTTTTTTTTTTCTCCATGTTTTCTTTTGTCTCTTTTCTTTTCATTTTGGAAATGTGCTCAGCTGACCTTTCATGCTGTCTCCAAAGGAATGAAAGATTTTTTTCCAATCGCTAAGCCCATTCTAACTTAGCTGATTGCTCCTTCCTGCGTTTCCAAAAGGGGGACTGCAAAAATAAATAACCCAGTCCTTCTTTTCACTGCAGACAAGCCATGATCTGCTTATCTGTTCTCCATTTTTCATTTGGATGAAATAATAGCTGCATGAATCATGACAGCAGACAAGATAGAGGAGAGCAGGAGGCGGGGTTACCAATCTACTCGCTCTGGAGAGCAGAGTTCGCTGCTTTTAGATGTTGTCTCCAAAGTCTCCAGTAGCAGAAAAAAATTCGCTAGATTTGGCCCTAAGTGTTTTTTTTTGTAATAAAAGCCCTAGAGGGCTCTGAAAAGTCGTTAAAAATGGCAACAAAAGCGCTAAGTTGGCAACACTGCTCCTCACACCGTTTGTTTTCAAATGGTTCGCTGCTTTCTGTTTGAACCTTTCTGAACATGTGCAACAAATGGACTGATCCAATATGGTGGACACTGAAGGGGGGGCCCTGAGACACACTTAATATTATAAGCATTCTCATAGCATTTGAATGAAAGGAATTTGTTGAAAACATAATTTGCACAAATAAGTAATAGCTCTATTAAACATACATGTAAATAGAGTTTTATGGGGGCCCCCAGCAACTAGGCAATTGCTTAGTTTTGCCTAATGGTAAATCTACTCAATTGAGGCAGCATGGATTACTAGCAAAGGCTTTAGAAGAATGTAATCTTGTACATTTACGCATGTTTTGCTTTTTAATTCTCCTGTTAGTGAACTGTAGATTACACCTTAAACTGACTTAAACCTCTATATTTTTTCAGAAACCCCAACACTGAAAAAGCTGCTGTTTTATCCTTTAGACCGGCATTAATTTAAATGAATGAATCCAAACTCCCCTAGGACATTCTTTAGTAAAAGAGGACTAATGATCTGCTTTGAAGCTGCTTTCTCAGTGTATTAACATGGTGCACGCATTGCACTCAGAGACTAATCCAAGGCTACAGGTTTGCTCTGTTGCTTTAAGGACAGAAATTCAATGTACGTTTTTCTGTAACAATGAAAATGAAAAAAAATCAGACGCAAAAAAAATGTCTATTTTTTATTATTTGATAAGCATATTATCAAATGAGATAATTTTTCATTTAAGTACAGCAGATGTGTGTTGATCTCCATAGTTTAGGTCATGGTTAAGACAGATGACAGCAAACTAAACTTGCTTTACAGATGGAGCAACATTTTTTGTCTGTCCTATCATCATTTTCAGAGCTTGAGGAACTTTAAAAAACCAAATAAAAGATATGATGGGAATAAAAATAAACTTTTAAGCAGCAAACAATGGAGCAATCAAGAAAGAAGAGCTCCACTCTTA